AGGAAGTGGAGGAGCTGGCATTAGAGGCCAGGGCAGCCAGCAGTGGGGGGCCCTCCATGCTGGGATAGGGAAGTGGGCTCAGGATGGGCTAGGCCAGGTTATGAATGGAAGTGCAGCAGTGGGACAAACAGCAAAATCAAAATTTGCCCACCAGTTTTATTCTAGGATGGCCCTCCCAGATGATTGTATATACCTGTGATAAGTATAGGGAGTCTAGGCCTTGTCAACCTCAATCAAGGCTAAGGAAACTTAGCCCCTTTGAGCTTCAGTTTCCTCATCTGTAGAATGGGAAAAATTAATAGCACCCAGACCTTATGAGGAGTCCCTGGGTGGCACAAACTGTTCAGCACTCAATTATTAACAGAAGGGTGGTCAGTTCAAACCTACCCAGAGGCACCTTGGGAGAAAGGCCTGGTGATCTCCTTCTGAACGATCACAACCAATGAAAACCCTATGAAGCACAGTTCTACTCTGCACACGTGGGGTTGCCATGAGTTGGAATCAACTCGACAGCAACTGGTACTGGTCGACCTTGTGAGGTTGCTGGGTGCAGCACATGAGACAATGCCTGAACAGCTGTTCCCGTAGTGGTGGCCCAAGAGAGCTCAAATGGCAGCATTTGGGGGTGTGGATGGTGCTGGATCATGGGGCTCCTTCTATCACTCTCTCTTTCTTTCTATAGGTTTGAAATTTTCCATAATTATTTTTAAAATTTGTTTGCTCAAGAAAGGAAAGGATTAGTATCATCAGGGTGGTCTCGGCTGGGATGGAAGGTGGCAAGAACTAAACTTGTGGGATGGTCCAGAGGTGTCTAACACAGTAGCCGCTGGCCCTGGGTGGCTACTGAGCACATGCAGTGTGGCCAGTCCCAGTCGAGAGATGTTGTACGGGTAAAGCACACACCAATTTTGAAGGTTTAATACAAAAAAAGAATGTAAACTATCTCATGCTTAATTTTTTATATTGATTACATATTGAAATAACATTTTGGAACTATTGTGTTAAATAAAATATATTATTAAAATTAGTTTCACTTGTTTCTTTTCAAATTTTTAATGGGGCTACTAGAAAATTTTAATTTACATATCCAGTTCACATTATCTGCCCATTGGACCATGCTGCTATAGAACATGTCTTCAGAGGTGATATGATAGGTTGACGAAGAATCCTCTGAAGGCCGATGATGTTCACAGGAAAAAGAAGGTCCACCAAAGGAGAACCCGAGGATCAAAAATTTGACACCACTCAGGGGCAAGATGTGAAGTCTGACGGATGTGCAGTAAGCGGAGAAGTGCCTCTGTTGTAGGCAGAGTTAGTTCGGGAAGGATTTGCCAAGGCTCCCTTTGCCTAGACCAAAATAGTTTCCAGGACTCATCCACCCAGGTTCCCTGTACATAGGTCATAATTGTTGAGTCACTGCAAAGGAATTTTTCCCTGTAAATAACAAATGACCGATTTGGGTGTATCTATCCTCTCTCGTGAGTTTGGTTAGTGACAGTCCCTTGTGCCCGTTCGTCTGAGGGTGCCCAGCTAATACTGGAATGCCAGACCCTGCCCACGGAGACCCCAGCTGTCCTCCTCAGCCCACAGCCTGTCTAGATCCCTGGATAAGAAACGCCCTGAGGGCAGGGCTGTGATTCAATTGCTGTTGTACTTAGGTCAGTGCCTGGCACATAGGATAGCCTCAGAAAGTACTGAAGCTTGACAGCGGCCCCACCTTCCCATAATGGCCCCCCGACAAATTCCCCAGTATCAGGTCACAAGCTGGGCCCCTGCCCCAGCCCTCCTCCACCCTGGGAATCAGAGAATTGTCCCAAGTCCAGATTAATCGCATCCTGACCCCTGGCCGGAGCCCCTACTGCACCTCAGCCCACTGGGCCTGCTCCCTCATCCTTCCTGGGACGCTCTCTTCGCCTCCGCTAAGAGTGGGGCAGGCGGTAGGGATGATGGCTCACTCACTCAAGGGCGCCGGACCCCCCGCAAAGGTGCAAGGGCCGTTTTCCGTCCTGGTCAGGGAGGTCGGGGTCGGCTCCTGCCACCAGCAGCAGGTGGGCGCATGGCGCGCGGCCCGCTGCGCAGGCCTCGTGGAGCGCGGTGCGGCCGCCAGGGGCGCTGTCGGGCCGGGCCCGCCGCCTCAGCAGCAGCCGCAGCACGTCTACGTGGCCCCGGCTGGCCGCCACGTGCAGCGGGGTGGTCAGCTCCTCCTCGTACGTCAGAGACCAGAGTCCTGGGGAAAGGCCAGGGCGGCTGGCAAATGGGCGACGCGCCCAGAGGTGCCCGGAGCCCCCTCCCGCCTCCCGCTCGCCCACCCGGCGCCCGCCGTACTCAGAGCGCGGATGTTGTAGCGGAAATCCCTCCATCGTTCTGGGTCGCTGGTATCAAAGACGGAGTCAGGGGCCAGGCCTGCGCTGTCGTCCGCGAGGATGCGGGCGATCGCGCCCACGTCCCCCGCCAACACTGCCTGCCAAAAGGCAAGGGCAGGCCCCGAGGCTGTGCGGGTGATGATGGGGCCCGGGCCGCCCTTCCGACCCTCTGCGTGCCCTGTGCTGGGCTTCTCCACCAGCCTGGCACAGAGGGAGTGCCTGTCGCCGGGAGACCCCTCCTGGCCCCTGCACTCTCCGGGGGACCAGCTCATGAGGGCAGAGTGCGAGCATGTGGGGAGAAAACTAAGGGGAGAGAAAGGGGCAAGCTGACCAGCGGAGGGAGTGGGTCTATGTCCTGCGCGCTGCCTGACCTGGCCACAAGGCCGGCAGGAGCTATTCTGGGCTCCACATGACTTCCCTCCTGGGCCAAGGCCTGGCCGCTGCGGGGCCAGCCTCAGGGCGGAGAACCACCGGCTCCTCTTTTCCCTCAAGCTTTTGGTACCTCTGCTCCTAGGCGGCCCCCCAGCTCCTCGCCCCGCCCCCGGGCACCAGGCCAGACCCTCACCAGGCTGGCTGCAGCTCCAGCGCGGCTCGGCGGCCCGGCTCTCCAGCAGCAGGTCGGCTGTGCTGTGAGGCGGGAACAACTCCTGCAGCCTCTCCAGGTCCCCGGTGTAGAGCGCGTTCTGTAGGCTCATGTCACGGCACAGAAGCGGCAATGGCCTAGGGTTGTCCCGGGCTGGGCCCGACTGGGGACCCCGGTCCCGGCAGACAGCGGCCACGGGGAGGCTCCAGGGACGGCGTCCCCCTTGAGGAGGGGCGCTCTGTCTCCCAGGCATGGCTAGTTTCTGGGAGAGAGGGCCAAAGGAGCGGACTCATGCAATGCCACCATGACCGCGCGGGGCGATGGGGAGCTGGGCCCAGTGTGGGAGGAGCAGGCCCTTGCCAGAAAGAGGCAGGACAGTCACCGCCGTCAGAGCCAGGGAGAGAAGTGGGGACTAGGGAGTGCTTGGCAAACAGGGTGCGGGTGGAGCCCTCCAGCCCTGAGCCTTCCCCTGCAGAATTCTACTACACCAGGGTGTGAAGGGCCCACCAAGGCTGTGCTACCCAAACCCATAATGTCACAGATAAAGAATGAAGCCCTGGAAGGGAGTGATTTGCCCAATACCACACAGGTAATTTGTTGCAGAGCCAGGACTAGAACCTGGGGCCTGAGGCTCCCTTTCCTGGGTTCTTTCTCATCTGTCCTGCTGGGCCCTTTCTCATCTGTCCTGCTGGGCCCCCAGCCCAAGAGGCAGAGTGTGAGGCGGGACTGGCTTTCCTGACTTCCCAGTGTTACCCACCAGCCCTGCACCTTCCCACACTCCTATACCCAAGGACAGGTCCACAGTAGTGGCTCCTCGAGTGCCCCCTGCCCCCTCCGGGAGACAGGCTTCTCCCAAAGGAACTGGGCTCAGCCACAGACAGTGAAACAACAGGAGGAGGCCTTCTCAGTGCTGACACACGGTCTCTTGAGGAGCCCTGGTTAGACTGGAGTCTCAGCACATTAAGATAAGGGGACTGCTATCATTTGAGGGAATCAAAAGAATAGGAGAAAGAAAATTCAAGACAACCCCCTGGGCTCAGCTCTGTGCCCGCTGCTGCCCCATACTCGGGTTGCTCCAGCACCTGTGCCTGGCCAGAGCTCCTATCAGCTTCTACAGCCTGCAGCGCACTCCTTGACCTTCACCTGCCCTCTCCTCATGCTGGCCTAGGGGGAACTTGGGTCAATCTTTGTCTCTTGCTCCTTCAGTCCCTGACTCACCCCACCCCTGAGCCTGTTCTCTCCCCAGCAAGGGGGGCCATGGACTTTTGCCCCAGAGCTGGAGGCTGTACCCCAGCCAGCCCCCTGAGGGGTGGGCCCTGGGTTGGAGGAAGGGGCACAGAAGGTGGGTAGGTTGGGTGCGGGGGTGGGGGGGAGGTTCTCAGAGAAGAGAGGTGACGACCGCCCGGAGAAGGCACTGGGCCTACCAGCAGCCTTCACCCTGGCCATGAAGTCCCTCCACTTGTCCCATACTCTTGCTGAGCCCTTTCTCTCTAGAACCATCTCTGTCCCCACTTCACCCCCACTGCTGCCCAAGAACCCTCACCTATCTGACTTCCCAGACACTTTTGTTAGCGTAATTGAACCTCTCCTCACTTTACAGATAAGGAAGCTGAGGCCCAGAGACAGGAAAGGGTGGTCCAGTGTAATTCAGGGGGTTAGTTGCCAAACCGGGCTAGAACCAGGGTCTACTAAATTCCAGACACGCGTTTTTCTGTTTGTGACGTTCCTTTCCCCCTCTCTCTCTTCCTACTTTCTCTCCTTAGATCCCTACGGGTACTCCTCTAGGAGGAAGGGAGCTAGCGGCCAGGCCAGGAGAATGACAAGGAAATGAGGACACAGGGGTGGGTGGGCGAGTGGGTGGGTGGGAGCCTGGGCAGGAGCGGGGAGCGTGGTGAGGGCTGGCACAGGCAGTGGGCACAGACAGGAGGGAAGACACAGAGCTGGACAAAAGAGCTGGGTCCCCGAAGCCACATGGACATTTATACCTTGACCTACTGGCCCCTTCACCCTGGGCACTGCTCTCGCCCCCACACCCCACCCCCCCAGCCTCGCCATCACTTCTTTTTCTTTTTCTCCTTTGTCATCCTGGCCTCCTCGGCCTCCATCTGCTCCTTGTTAAGCTTCATTCTCTTCTTGCCCAGTGGAGTCTTGAAGTACCAATCCTTGAGGACAAGAGGAGGGGCAAGGGAGGAAGGGGCAATGAGGAGGAAGACCTGGTCCATTGGGATCTGACCCTCAGTTCTGTCTTCTGACCTCACGCTTTCCCTTTTTATGGGACACTGTTTCTTCAACAGCCTTCCCTCCTCTCTTCCCAGGGTTCCCTTTCTCCCCACTAAGTTCTCTAGGCACATCCCACCCCATCTCCTGCCCTCCCACCATGCCCCCTCCTTCCACCCTGCTGTCCTCTCTTCACGGCCACTCCTGTCCCTTAGGAAGTAAGCTCTGGCTCGGTGTCAAGCAGACCAAGGCTTCTCCTGTATCTCTGGCTCTTCCAGGCTCCCATCCTCAGGGAAACCAGGCGAGATGTTCCTGCCCATTCCCTGATTCCTTGGTCTTCCCTCTGGTGATTTCTTGTTCCCTTCTAGGTGAAATGCCACATTCATTTTAAACTGTCATCTGGTACTATCGGGGAGCAGGGAGAGGGGTCTGAGATGTGCCATGGGACTAGGCTTAGGAGGGCTACGTCGCCCAGCTGGGGCTGCTGCCCACCCCCTCCTGAAACAGCCTCACCTTCAGGGATTCCTCCTCCTCTTTGTACACTGGCTCCAGCTTGGCCAGGTGCCCCAGGAACTCAGAGGCCACTAGGGGCCGATTGGACAGTTGCAGGAGCCGCCGCTCGGTCAGCACTGATTGGGCGGCCTGGAGGATGTGGCCGGGTGTGTAGCCATCGGACACCTTGGCCAGGGCACTGATGTCCAGGCTCTGGGTCACCTGGACTCCCTGGGTCTCTATCATATGCTTCCAGAGCACTGCAAACATGGGGAGGACATGGGCATGGGGGGCACGGGTGGGCGCACATGGGGGGCAGGCAGCAAGGCATAGCACACTCTGACCTAGGAGCCTCAAATGACTTGGGTGCTTTGGAAAGCAGATTGCATGTGTCACCTCACACCCACTGGAGAGGCGCAAGGTCAGAAAGGTGAGCAGACCCTCCCCCCCCAGCATGAGGCAGGAGAGCTCCAGGAACTATGTGGCCTGCCCAGTTTCCACACACTTGTGCCGGCACCCAGCCCACTGGACTGCTTGTCTGGTGGTCCTTTCAGAATGCCTGGCCATGCAGACAAGGGTGTGTCGGGGAGGCTTTGGCAGGGGCAGCGGTCCTGGGACCTCTTCTGGCCCGCTGCTGGGACCCAGGCCTCACCATAGCGGGAGGCGTAGTCAGGGCGGGGCACGAGGAGGATGCGCTCATAGGTCCGGCACAGCCCCTTCATCTCGGCTAGCTGTGGCCGGGCTGTGGTTCCAATCAGCATCACACGGTCTCCGGGGTTCAGCAGGCGCAGGGCCTTGGTGAGGTCCTTCTTTATTCGCTTTGGGTCCATCTGCTCCAGGGAGGGAAGCAGATGTGGGGGTGTCAGGTGGGTGAGGGGTCAGAGGGCTTCTAGAACCTACAGCACAGGCACACAGTGACAGCAGGCAGGGCTGCCAAGTGCTGAGGGCTCCCCCCACCCTGTCTGGCAGAGGCTCCCACCAGCCCTGAGGGATGGAGAGGGAGAAGCTGTTATCCTGCTTTAGGGACAAGCAAATGGGGCAGCAGAGGGGAGGGCACTTGCCCAGGGTCACTGTAGGTTAGGCTTGGAGTAGCTTGAAAAGCCCCAGCTCCCAGCCCTGCTCATGCTACCCACCCCTAGGCTGCTCATGCCCCTCACCTCCTTCTCCTCTTTTGGGACCTTCTTATAGAAAGTCTTCTCAGCTCCCCCGATCCAGATCACAGAGGGTTGCAGGAGCCGAGCCACCTGGCCAGGCCAAGGGTGGAAGTCGGGTATCAGAGGCCCCCAGGCAAGGGCGGCTACCTCTGCCTGATGAGCCCAGGGTCAGCAGGGCCAGGCTGGCCTCACTGTGCCTAACTGAGTGCCAGCCCCACTCCCGGTATCCTGCCACCCTGACCAACCCATCACGCTTCGGTGGGGAGAGTCTAAGGTTCCCCTCTGAGACAGGAGGGGTTTGTATTCAACCTCATCTTTCCCAGAAGAGCAACTGCTCTGGCCCCTCACAGGCTCTAGGTGTCCGAGAGCTCATAGCTGGGGTTGATAGGGAGACCTCCCAGCTCCTGAAATCACCCCATGGGCCGGTGGGCACCCCTTTGGCATAAAGCCCACTCTGCTTTGTTGTCACAGACTGAGAAGGAGAGCAGCAAGAGGGACCGACCTTGAACACCATGTGCACGACCATCTGTATGCCGGCCCTGCCAGGGTATTTGCCCTGCAGGTTGCTGGGGGACAGGTCAAACAGGTTGGCCCCGGTTTCTGTGCACACAGCCATAACCAGCATCTTCTTCCCTATGCCTGGGGGGCCCACTAGGAGGATGGAGCGGATGAGGGGGGCCATGGCATGTATATCTGGGGAGCCTGTGAGGAAAGAAACGGGGCCAGAGGCAGGGTATGGGCCGGTGGCACAGGGCTGGGTATGGGGTGCGTTGTGTATGGCAAGGCCACAGCCGGGCCTGCTGTTGGTGAGGCTTCTCCTGAGCAGTCCCCCATGTGCAGGCTGTGAACGGCAGCCTGGAGGGTTTTCAAGGGCTCTATGTGATATCCAGAAACCCTGGTTGGCGTAGTCTTTAAAAGCTGCGGCTGCTAACTGAAAGGTTGGCAGTTCCAATCCACCAGGTGCTCCTTGGAAACCGTATGGGGCAGTTCCTCTCTGTCCTATAGGGCCACTATGAGTCAGAATCGACTTGACGGCAGTGGGTTTGATTTTTTTATGTGGTATCCAGGAGCCCTGGTGGCACAGTAGTTAAGCACTTGGCTGCTAACTGAAAGGTTGGAGGTTTGAACCCACTAGCAGCTCTGTGGTAGAAAGATGAGCCAGTCTGCTTTGGTAAAAATTACATTCTTGGAAACCCTGTGGGGTTGTATTCTGTCCTACAGGGTCATTATGAGTTGGAATCAACTTGATGGCAATGGTTTTTTGTTTTTTTTTGTATTTAGTGTCAGAGGAGTCCTCTTCCCCTTTCAATGCCCTTTCTGGTTTTCATAACATCTGTACTCCTGGACTATGAAGGGGTGGAATTCAAGGGCATACGACAAACTACCCCAGAGAGATCCTAGTCTCTGGTATTTAATAGGGTGGGTTGGGGTTGGTCTTCCTGGGAAAGGAACAGAGTAGGTGATGTCACTGGGACTGAGTAAGGAGCTGGGAGTGTGGACTCCTCTGCAGGTCAAGGGCCCATGGGACTTCTGGGGCAGCCCCTCTGGGTGTGACCTCCAGCAGGCAGATGGCACCCAGGGGCGGGACATGTCCCCCCCACCCCAGCCACCCTGCCCTGAACCCAGGCCCTGAAAGCCCCTGCCCAGTTCGAGGTCTTCACACCCCCCAGGGGCTTCTCACCGAGCCGGAGGACCCCGTACAAGGCCATGTTCTGACGAATGTCAAAGAGGGAGGGCATGGGCAACTTGTTTGCCACATTCAGAGTGGATCCAAGATACAGGCAGTCACCTGAGGGCACAGGTGGGCAGGCCACTCACTTGGGCCAAGGGAGAGAATCTCACAAGGAGCCAGGTCCACTTCCAAGAAGTGGCCTTCAGCCAGGGGACAAGTGCGGTCCAGGGCAGGCTGCCCCTCAGCTCGGAGCAGGCCTGGGGGCGGGGAGGGGGTAGGTCTCACCAATGTAGTCCTTCAGTGCCACTGTCTCAGTCTTCTTCACAAGGCCGTGAATGACAAGCTCTTCGAACAGAGACTCCAGGGACCTGCAGAGGGTGGGCAGGAAGACCCAGAGGACATTAGGCAGAGGTGGGGCTTGTGGAGGACATGAAGAAGAGGAGGATGGTCCTCCCACCCACGTCCTGTGGTCAAAACCGCAGCCAGCATCAGAAGGCACAGTGTGCGCGGGAGAAGCCGAGGCACCACAACTCTGTCCCTGAGGCACCAGCCCTGTCCCGTGAAGGTGCTCTGTGGACCAAAAGGGAGGCAGGAAAGACCGGCACCCTCTGTGGACTGCCCAAAGTCCCACCATTAGAAATCCATTCGTTTGGGTTAAGCATTGCCCTCTTCCTAGAAACCACATTTAAGATGTAAGTCTTCCTGGGAAGGATGGTCATTAAAGTAAAAACCATAAATGTGCTCACGACCTCTGTCTACCAGGGAGCACGTGCAGAGAAGCGAGTGGAAAGGGACCACAGACAAGCCGCTCAGTGCCGCAGAGTGGGAGGTCCAGGGGGCGATGTCTTTGGTAGGGACGGAGCTAATTAAGGAGGGCCAACGAGGGAGGGAGGATCTGAATGATGACAATACTCCATCTACATCTGTAATCTGCAGTATAATTTTCAAAGCACTTTCTTACTATTTCATATGACCCTCATAGCTCTCTCGGCAGTTTGACAGGACAGGTAATCGGAAATGAGGACACTTAAGTGACTTTCCCAAGGTCACACAGTACAAGGCAGGCTTCCTGTCCCGGACCAGGGCTCTTCCCCTACCCCATGGTATAAGGGGGCAGAGCTGAGTCTGGTACCTGTTTGGGGTCAGATCTTTTTCCTTCTTCTTCTTTCCAGCTTTCTTCCCAGGCTTCTTCTGGTTAGAGACAAGTGCACAGGTGAGCGAGCTCTGTTCCTTCCTCCCCCCATGGGAGCTTGCAAGGCCCTCCTGGCCCCAGCCCTGGCCTCTCATCTCACCTTCGGAGCTTTCAAGGGTCTCCCTTCCTCCCTGTCCACGGCCAGGCGCAGGTTCTTCAGCTCTTGCCTCATCAGCTCGTCCACCTGGGGAGACAGAAGGGAGTGGAAGGGGCAGCAGGGGCCCCGTGAAGAGAAGGTAAGAGGGGTGAGGAGGGGTACAGAGATGGGAGGAAGGAGAGAGCCTCTGGGAAAAGCCAAACAAGCCACGCGAAGGTGGCCAGTGCACCTTCATCAGCATGCCTCGCGCTTTGGAGCCCTCAGCCACTGCTCTAGTCTGTATCCTGTATCCTGCTCACCCCTGAGCCTGGCTCTCAGCCAACCACCAAAGTGGAGAGAGTGAGGGTGGCCCTGATGAGCCCTCCCACCTGCATGCGGATCTCCACCTCCACTTCCTTCCTCTTTTCCTCCCGGAGGGTCTCAGGGTCAAAACTCTGACTGGGGTGTGTGCTTTCATGACGGTTCTTCCATAGCTCTGACCACGGAAAACGGGTGGAGGGAAAGTCAGAGCCTTGGGAGTGTGTGTGCACTTGTACACACACACGCATGTGTGCACACACAGACTTGTGAGCACACATGCACACTCATGTCTGCACATGCACACACATATACATGCACACATGTACACACACGTGCACTGCACACACACACACACACCCTGGCCAGGAACCTGACCCAGACTGATCCACTTCTCCCCACTCAGCTCCTGGCACTGCTTCTACTCAGACCACAGACGCTCAACCCCAAGGACTATGACCACAGAAGTCAGACCCAAACCTATGACACCCCCAACCCAAGAGATCACACCATACACACCCTTCTCCCCCTTTAACATTATTCCTTCAGCCCCGACACACAGCTACACCCCCACTTCTGATTCATGTGGCAGACTCCCACTTTCCCCCGGCAAGGCCTTCTCTTCTCTTACTCATGTACTCCTCATGCCCAGCATTGATCACAGGTATAAATTTGGACGGCAATACTTTCAGCATACTATCCATTTCCTGGAATAGAAACATTCTTTTACCTCAACCCCATCACCTCCACCTACAGCAAACTCTGACCTAATCCTTACCCAGACCAACCTTCCTACCGTGAATTCCCCTACACTTTGCTCCTCCCTGCCCACTCACCCTCCACGTTCACAAAGTGTCTCACCCCCTTCTTGGCCTTTTCTTCCTTCCCCTTCTTCTTCTTCTCTTTTTTCTCCTCATCCTTGTTCTTATTTTTCTCTTGCTCCTTCTTTTTGTTCTCCTGGACCTGCAGCTCCAGCTCCATTCTCACCTGTGACCAAAAACAGATGATGTTCAGAGATCAGAGGTGTTTAATAGGAACAGAACTCAGGGATGGACCCAGGATCCACAAGCCCTGAGTAACTGATGGGGTCCAGATGGCTGAGAGTCCAGAGACTGCATACTGGGGTCCAGGAAGAAAGAGGAGCCAAGTGAAGTTGTGTTTTGATCAGAGGTGCTGGCTTTCTTGGGGGCCTCAGATCCAGAGCCAAAAATGTCTCTCCAGACATATGTACTCTCCCTGGCATGGATGCCTTCTCCAGTGACAGGTACCCCCTCACCTTCCTCATGCAGCCTTACAAGAACATATATTTCCTCTGGCCACATATGCCTACATCGGTCATAGCTGACCTCTCCCCCACACCACCTTTAGCTTTACGCTAACATCAGGCTCAGCCTGCATGGAAAACACCCTGTCCTGCCCCAGTGTCTTAGATTGGTTTCTCTAGAGAAGCAAAACCAGTGAAGTGTGTGTGTATATATGTGTGTGTGTGTGTGTGTGTGTGTGTGTGTGTGCATGTGTGTATGTAGAGACAGAGAGATTTATCTCAAGGAAATGGCTCACACAGTTGTAGAGGCTGGCAAGTCCCATCCATGGGTCAGGCTGAAGGCTGAAGCCTTCTCCGGACTCACGTAGCTGCCGGGAGTGACGAACCCAAGATTGGCAGATCAGATGGCAGGCCGCTGGCTCACAGGCTGTGAAGGCTGACAAATCCAAGTCAGTAGGTAAGATGGCAGGCTGCTGGTGCACAGGCTGTGGAGGCTGATAAATCCCAAGATCGGCAGGCAGTATGGCAGGCCATTGGTGCAAGTCCCAAGAACTGGAGGTCAGATGATGACAAGCCAGATGCAGGATCCGGGGCAAGCGAGTGAGCTTTGCCAGAACGTCCATATATATATATTGGGTGCAGGCCACACCCCTGAGGAAACTCCCCTTACAACTGATTGGCTGATCACATCAGATCACATCATGAAGTATGACTACATCATTACATAACTGCCAAACCACCGAGAATCACGGCCCAGCCAAGTTGACACACAACCTTAACCATCACAGTACATCCCTTGTCAACTTGGCACCTGTACACATCTCCTTAAACCGTACACAATCTCTAAATAAAGACAATTACAAAGTCATACTTGCGCCTAATATGATACAACATTCATACAACCAAAAATGCACTAGGGCCATTTACATTTTATATTTTATAAGTGAAGAAAACAAAAATATTTGATGTACACATACAAGGAAGAAATACTTATAACAATTCCAGCCCTAGTTTCTGCAACTGGTCACATGGTCATAACTGGTATTTAGAACTACCTTCTTCCATCACCCATTCTGTATTCCCTTTACCTTCAGCAAGCACCTCAGCTAGTTGTGGTTCTTTGCCTAGTGGGATGACCCAAACCTTCATTCCTGAATGGTCTGCATCATTAGTAGTCATATTAGAATTGGGTTGCTGTAGTTTTCCATTGACTTTAATCACAGGGCATGGTAGTACTAAGAGCATCCTAAGGGGTATTGTATTCTGGACATAATGTTGTTTACCTCATTATGCAACACCAATCTGATTTTCCTTTGGTAGTCAGGATCACTCACATCAGCCAGTATGGTAACTCTCTTCTTTGCCTGTTGATACAGAGGCTTGAGGGGCCCAAAGTGGCCAAGTGGCATTCTTAACTTCTAGTTCAATGAATCTGTATTGTGTCTCCAGGTGGGAGCATTCCTCTGAAACTAAGACCTCTGGACCCACAAAGCACAGGGTCATGGGAACAGGAAGCAAAAATTTTGCGCATGGGTTACTAGGGGTAATAGTGAGTGGTGCCAGTCCATCTTCACCCCTTGATTGCTGGACACATGAATCCTGGCTATGGGAGAAATAGTACTATATATATTGGATGCTAGTTTAGAGCATATACAGCCTCCTGGAGAACATTGCCCCAACCCTGCAAAATACTGCCACCTAGCTGGTACCATAATTGTGTCTTTAGGAGGCTATTCCATTGTTCTATCAAGCCAGCTGCTTCAGGATGATGGGCAACATGGTAAGACCAGTGAATTTCATGAGCATGGGCCCATTGCTGCACTTTATTTGCTGTCAAGTAAGAGCCTTGATCCAAGGCAATGCTATGTGGGATACCATGACAGCAGATAAGGCATTCTGTGAGTCCATGGATGGTAGTTTTGGCAGAAGCATTATGTGCAGGGAAGGCAAATCCATATCCAGAGTAAATGTCTATCCTGGTAAGAACAAAACACAGCCCTTTCCATGATGAAAGCAGTCCAATGTAATCAACCTGCTACCAGTTTGCTGGCTGATCACCCCGAGGAATGGTGCCACATCAGGGATTCAGTGTTGGTCTCTACTGTTGGCAGACTGGGCACTCAACAGTGGCTGTATCCAAGTTGGCCTTGGTGAGTGGAAGTCCATGTTGCTGAGCACATGCATAACCTCCATCCCTGCCACTGTGGCCACTTTGTTCATGAATCCATTGGGCAACGACGGGAGTGGCTGGGGAAAGAGGATGACTGGTTTCCATAAAACGCATCATCCCATCCACTTGATGGTTAAAATCCTTCTCTGCCAAGGTCACCCTTTGGTGAGCATTCACATGAAACACAAACACAAACGCTTCTTTGGCCCATTCAGAGAGGCCTATTCACATACCTCTTCCCCATACTTTCTTGTCTCCAATTTTCCAATCTTCCTTCCAAGTCCCTGACCATTCAGCCAAACCATTGGCTACAGCCCATAAATCAGCATACAATTGCACATCTGGCCATTTCGTCTTCCAAGCAAAGTGAACAACCAGGTGCACTGCTCAGTGTTCTGCCCATTGGGAGGATTTCCTTTGATAATTGTCCTTCAGGGAGTTCCCAGAAAGGGGCTGTAGTGCTGCCGTTGTCCACTTTCAAGTGGTGCCTGCATATTGTGCAGAACCTTCAGTAAACCAAGAACGAGTTTTCTCTTCCTCAGTATAATTGATCATAAGGAACTCCTCATGAGGCTATAGGTGCAGACTAGGATAGGGCAGGTAATGTGACAGGAACGGATATCATGGGCATTTGGGCCACTTCCTCATGCAACTTACTTGTGCCTTCAGGTCCTGCTCATGCCCAGTCTCACATATACCACTTCCATTTAATGATGGATACTGCTGTGCACGTCTGACTTTATGGCTCTGTGGGTCAGACAACACCCAGTTCATGATGGGCTGCTCAGACCATCTACTCAGCATTCAGTCTCTACTAAGGCCCAGTCAAAAGCCAAAAACTGTTTCTCAAAATGAGAGTAGTTATCTGCAGAGGATGTCAGGGCTTTGCTCCAAAATCCTAGAGGTCTGTGCTGTGATTCACCAATATGGGCTGCCAAAAGATTCCAAACAGCATTTCTGTCACTGACACTTCAAGCACCATTGGAGCAGCTGGATCATATGGGCCAAGTGGCAGAGCTCCTTGCACGGCAGCCTGAACCTGTTGCAGAGCCTTCGCTTGGTCTGGGTCCCACTCAAAACTAGCAGCTTTTTGAGTCACTTGATAAATAGGCTGAAGTAGCACACCCAAATGAAGGATATATTGCCTCCAAAATCCAAAGAGGCCCGCCAGGTGTTGTGCCTCCTTTTTAGCTGTGGGAAGGGCCAGATAAAACAACTAATCCTTCACTTTAGAAGGAATATCTTTTTTTAATTTTTTTTTATTGTTGTAATTTAAATGAAGTTTGCATTTCAAGTTAGTCTCCCATACAAAAATTTATACATACATGTTATGTGACCCTAATTGCTCTCCCCATACTGCGACAGCACACTCCTCCTTTCTACCCCAGCACACTCCTCCTTTCCACCCCTGATTCCCCATGACCATTCAACCAGCTCCTAACCCTCTCTGCCTTCCCATCTCACCTCCGGACAGAAGCTGCCCATTTAGTCTCTTGTATCTACCTGAGCTAAGAGACACACTCCTCATGAGTATCATTTTATGTCCCACAGTCCAGTCCAATCCCTGTCTGAAGAGTTGGTCTCAGAAATTGTTTTATTT